TAATTCTACTATGCAATTATATACAGTTATAAATATAATGCCAAAAACTTTTCTTACACAATCTGCAGGGCGAAGATTCACTTTAATCAAATGATTTATTAGTGAGGCGTTTATCATGCGTTGCACAATGCCGTTTCTTGATATGTTTAATTCTTTTTCCAATGATACATTTTTTGTGTTGGAAAAAAACACAAGTAACACGCAACGCTTTTGAAAAAATTGAAAAAATATTTATCGCGAGCATTGGCAGAACAAATCAAAATATTACGTAAAAATATATTTCAAACGCAGGAAGCTGTTGAAAATATGGACCAAAATACAAAATGCTCTGAGCAATTTGATGCGGTGTAAAATAAAGGATATTATTTTGTATTTCCAAATATCTATGTCAGATGCACTCATTTATGCAAAATATTGCATGCGTATGCGAAGTGTGTTTTGTATATCATTATGGTGTTATAAAGATTATACGGTGAATCTTTAAAACTTAGCTCGTTCACATTTTACGTCTCATATTACTCCGCCTCGCTCTTGCATTTAAAAATGCAAATACGAGGATTTTTCACACTCCGATCGACGTTGCACATTGCAATGCTTGTTCAATCGCACGCTGACCTTAATCCCTTAACGTCCTTAGTGTCCTTTCGCCGAGACGCGCGGAGAAAGAAATAACCCAAATAACGAATAAAATGTCTGTTATCTACCAATCAGCGGAAATAAGATGTCAAGAAGCTCACAGAAGGTACAACGACTAATGCTGAATTCGAATTGGAGTGATATAACTTACATAATGCATTCTTTTTGCAATATATCCCGATATAATTTTAAATGGGAAACTTGTTGCAAATTCAAACCTTTTTTAGCTCATTAACATCTTTCTAGTAGAATGCCTGCGATTGAGCATCAAATTATGTGTCCATGTCTCGTAAATCGTATGTGTGTAAGTCGCATTTAATTAGTAAAACAACAATTTCATTAAAGACTATAAATACAGGCCTTTATTTCCCATCAGGCTATTAATTTTTCTATTCCTGGCTTTTTAGACAGTTTCACTCGTGTGTTTCTTGTTCTCTATAAGAACCAGTCTAACATATCTTGATCATTTTAATTATCGATACAGCCGAATAATTTTCACATTTATTACGCAACAACGAAACGCGGCAATGTGCGGTGCCTAGTGCATTTTGCCATAAGCAGCACGACCAAACTAAATTATCGTTGAGGTAACATCGTTTCAATTTCCTGGCGACGCATTTACAATTAATTTATTATACCTGCTTACGTGCATACAGTTTACAATTGATGAACATGATAACTTATTAGTAAACTTCATCGATTTAGGGCATATGTGTCTACTCCC